AGGGGCTGTGCTGTGGCTACAAGCCTGCTGAGGAACCATAAACTCTGATCATGCAAAACCAGCTGTCTTTACTGTTATCTTACTGGCTAGTACTGCTTGGATTGCCAGCTTGTTGTTCCATAGTATCCTGTCCGACTGTGCGCTGATGGAGAAGGGAATGTTGATTGTTTCCACATTGTCTAAGATAAAATATCTGCAGTTGGACACTGATAAACTACAACAATTTTATTAAAATGCAATCATGTATCGTTGCACTGCAGATTTCAAAAGTACAGGGCTGGAGAGAGACAGTCCTGGAGAGATTAAGTATGTGGACATTCTAGCAGCCTCTGCAATCCTCCATAGACCTTAATTCAAGCTTTTGGATTGAACTGATTTTCTGGCTCCATTTCAGTTTGCTTTCTGGCCTGCCTTTGAGACTGAGACTACTTTGGTTGATGACCTTCACTGAGCAAAAGGGAGGGGAAGAATCTGTTGATTCTTCTCAACTGCTCAGTGAATATTCCATATCATGGGCCCTGACATCCTTGGGGGGCTGGAGGCATCACTTTGCAATGGTTCTATTATTTCCCAGGTGGCAGAAGATGCCTCTCCCATGAATGCAATTTCCCATGAGCTCCTCAAGTTCAATATTGTCTTCCATGCTGTCTAACATCAACCTGTTAGGAATCTGGTGTCATCAGTAATTTATGCTGGTTTTCAAGAGATATATATACCCTCCATGCCCTTTTAGCTTTTATGCCGCATATGGCTCCGGTTTCTAAAATCACAGTGCAGACCCTTATTTAACCCAGTTATCATATATTCACTTCCTGCAGAGAAGTACCTGAGAAACTGAACGGATATAAACTTACAGAGCATTGAGTTCTAGGTCACCTAAGGATGCAATCCTATGCACACTTAAATGGAAGGAAGTCCAATTGAACTAAGTGGGGTTTTGTGTGACATAAATACAATTGTGATGTAAATAACCTAAGATGAAAGTAATGAAGAAACATGCATATCTATAAATAGGACAGACAACACAACCCATCTGGGTTTGGGAAGAAAGTAGTCGCAAGTTATGCTGTGATGAGTTTTCACCCCAAAATACTAAGGCTGATTATGAAGCCAACATAAGCAATCACCAATGAAATGTGTTTCACAAATAAGATGAGATTAAGTATTTAATCCAAGTAAATTATTTATTTATTGAACTAAATCTGTATATCAGTTAATTGTAAATAAAAGACCTAAGCTATTTACAAAGAATATAAACTATGCATTAAAATTGTCAATAAAAATCAATGCTTAAACACTAAGTTTTAAAAATTTGCTAATGTGCGAGTCTTGTTTACCAAAATTAACCAAAAACCCACAAAGAAAAATTATGTTTGGTTCAATGATTTATTAGTTAAAGCATTACCGTGGTTTTGTGTCAGCAATTTTAATGTAATAAGAAAAATTGTCTCACAAGAATTTATTTTCTCTTTGGGCTAGATGTTACGTGTGTGTGTGTGTGTGTGTGTGTGTGTGTGCACGCGTATTTGGAATCCGGAATTGTTTACTAATAAAAGCATTAATATCTTCTCTGGGGTGCACTTTACTCAGTTATGAGAATTACAACCATTAAATGGATATTTTCTTTTTACCAGTTAAATGAAAAACAATATTGTTCCTGTAAACCTTTTTGTAACCAGAATAGGTAAAGATATTAAAAAAGAATACCACAATTCACAAATGTGTGCAGATATGGCCCAAGTTGGTGGGGCTGAACCAGGTCCACATTTGATTCAATACCCATCTAAGCAGAAGGTAAATGCTATGCTCACTCAGCCCAACATAGGCAAGCCACTGGGCCATGGCCATAGCCAGGATTTTTGTTAGGGGGAGCAGGACTTTTGTTGGTGGGTGGAGGGACAGAACCGACCTGATTGGTCAGTTAGTTTAGTATTTCTATTGTTTTGCTTGAAATGGGCTCAGGGCAAGGGGCACACTTTGTTAATATGGCAACATCTGGAGGGCCAAGTCTTTCCCACACCTGTTTTCAAGCTTCATATTTGAGTTATACAATGTGGGAGCATTAGAGTCTAACAAAGCTTTTTGTTTAATTAAAAAGAGTTCTCACTTCAAACAATTCACAAACATGTATAGACATGGACTTAATCAGCTCTTAATTAAATTTGCAAAAATTAAGGTAAAATCAACAGTAACGGAACAAGAAACATTCTTTGTTTTTCAAATGATGAAACTCTTTCCTAGCAAGCATAATCTTCGGAGAGGCATCTGCCCTACCTGAGCGAAAAGATGGGATGATTTCCTTTAAAGATGGTGCTAGCTATCTGCAATTTTTATATGTGCTTATAGAAGTGCAAAGTTTTCCCTACCACAAAATATTGCCCCTTAGTACATCAAGGCTTGCAGTCTGGATCAGATCCTTGCACGTTGAGGAATTGAGTGCCCCTTGCATCAGAAGTGCTTCTAGGGAATGCACCTGGATCCCTGACAAGAAATTTGCAACAATTCTGCAACAACATCATGCAAAACCCGTAAACCCTGGAAGGGGGGAAAACCACTTTGTTTCCTGTTGGCATCTTATCCAATGACAGTCACTTGAGCTTTTGCTACTACCTTACCAACTTTCCCATAATAGCACCTCCCCACCCCCACAATAATATTGGAAAGATTCTGCTATGTAGGGAGAATTTGTCACCTTCCTGACTCTGCCAATGGCAGCACTCACTTCCTGGTCACAGGTTCATATGGACAGAGCTTAATGGGAGAGAGAACTAATCAGAAAGAATTCCACCCCGAGAACGCACCCAGCCTTTGTCAACCTAGGGCCCCCTCCCAATATGTTTTGGGACACAACAGTAACAGAATAGCTGTGCTGATGGGAGCTGTAATCCGCAACATCTGGCGGGCACCAGGTTGGCAAAGGCTTTGCAACATCACTTTTGAATGCATACAGACTATTGTTTCTTCACCACCACACAGGTTTTGTTAAAATAATTAGATTGCAGAATTTCCAGGCTGGCTTTGTGCCTTACCATTCCATTTCTTTTTCTAAAGAATGAAATTACCATTCCTTAGCAATGCCTCCTGGTTCAAGTCAGGGCTGGCATCAGAGGTGGGCACTATCAGCCAACTACAAAGGCCTCTTCAGGATCTCATTGGTGCCAGCCCCTGACTAGCTGCCACTGAAGAGCAGGTGATGTCACTGCCAGTGGAGCACACCCTGGATCTTTTTGGCCTCCTCTGGGATGCGCTGATGTTACCTACACAGCATCACCTTCTCTCCAAAAAAACCAGACAAGCAAGTGCCACTACAAAGTAGCTGCCCCCTCCACTCACTTGTCTGTCCTCGTCTTGTCTGGGCAGCAATAAGGCAGGGCCCAGCACTGTCACCCAGGCAGGGAGTGGGTAAGTGTGCAAATGTGGGCTCCTCTGTCATGCGAGTGAGCAACACTGGTAGGAACTCTGGGTGTTGCAGTGGAATGTTGGATCTGCTGGGTCCAGTCCCAATTGAAATTCCACTGGTGGGGGGTGGACAAATAGCAAGACAGTGAGCAACCACAGCCATTCTCTCTGGTTTGGCGTGCCCAGTCCCAACTGTTGCACCATCCAGGGACAGGTAACATGGCTGTGCCTTCTTTTGTGCACGGGTGCTTCCATTTGGTTCAATTTCTGGCATTTCCAGGTGTGTCAGGGAGAAGTGCCTATCTGAAACCCTGGGGAGCTGCTGCCAATGCAGAGCTTCCTGTGAAAGACGAGCCAATGGACCTGCTCTTTGGCCCCCACTCACTGTCCCCCTAATTCTGGCCACAGCAGGTTGGGGAGCCCCCACCACACCCACCTCGGACCCCTGGGCCTGATGAGCAGTAGTCACCATTTCTCTTGATCCAGCAAGCAAGCGATGGTTCCCTGCCCCTGGTGGAGAACTGAGCGAGTCAGGACAGAGGCGGGCAGATTAGGGATGGATGCAAAAAAGTCCCCAGTTCGATCTCCAGGTAGGGCTGGGAGAACCTTTCGCAGGAACCATTGCAGACCCGCTGCCAGCCAGTGCAGGTAGCACAGCGCCAGGTAGGCCAATGGCCTGACCATGCGGCAGCACCTTGGCCACGCGCATTATTCCCTTGGGCCACGCTGCGTCCACTCCTCTTGGCCACAGAAGAGCCATGGGACAGCCTCGAGGGCCCCTCACTTCCCCCAGCCCCAGTCCATTTGCAGAGCAGATGCCCTCGCCCCTCAGCGCCCTGCACGGCACACGGCGCGCCAAACACGCGCGCGCGCCCTCTCTCCCACACAAGGGCCTCGCGTGGCCCCGTGGACATTCCGCCCCCCGCGCCGCCTCCTCCTGGCCCGACAGGCGCAAACTGCCTCGCTCCGGCCAGCTCCACACGGGCGCCGCCGAGGGTGGGTGGGACGCGGGGCTGGCCGGCGGGCGGGGCAGCGGCGCCGTGAGCCCTGGGAGGCGGCGCCTGTCCCTAGACGGGCCGGGCGGGGGAGTTCATGCCACTAGACGGGAAGAGTTTCTCCTGCTGCCGAGTTGACAGCGCCAGGTCAGTGTGTGCGGCGGAGAGGCAGCCAGAGCCTCTGGCGGCGCGGCGGGAAGCGGGTGGATGGACGGGAGGGCGGCGTTGCCCGCCTGCCCGCCTGCCGAAGGGCTGCGTCTGGCGGCGGCGTGACGCTGCAGGGAATTCCCGCCCGATCCGTGGGGGCGCGTGCCTGGGGTCTGTAGAGGGACGGAGGGAGGCTGCGCGCCGGGAAGGGCTTGTGGGGCTGAGACGGGCACGAGGGGACAGCGGCATCCCTGTGGGGCTCCAGGACACTTGGCTTGTGGGATGAGAGAGCGGGGAATGGGAAGGCTGTCTATATACTGAATGGTCGTCTGGGAGAGCAGAACTCACTTGCTCTCAGAAAGTTTTGTAGGGAATGAGATAGAGACTGAGGTTTCTGCGGGGTGGGCTGGGAGGTTGAAAGGAACAGGTATGGTTGGGGTCGGGGGCCACTAGGGCTTGGGGAATCACTTACATGACGTCCAGAAGTAGACCCTGAACTCATTTAGTGTGAAGAAGTCTCTGTGTTTCCAGGCAGAGTTTTGAGTGCGTTTTTGCCTGTGCCATGCGCACATCTACCACCCATGGGCATAGCCAAGGGGAGGCAGGGGGAAGCTGTCCCCCTCCCCCAAAAAATCAAGTAAATTAATAAAAATGCTTAACGAACTGAGGTTCTGCCACCCCCTAAGATGAAGCCTGCCCCCCAACATATCCTGGCTACGCCCATGCTACCACCTATTAAATAATTGTTAATTACAGGTTAAAGAAATCCAATGGGATAGAATCTAGATACAGATAAAAAAGGGAGAGGTGATGGCAAAAGATTTTCTGGCAAGTACTGCCTTCGGAAAATGGGGGGAATAAAATCTCCCAGACCTCTATTGGTGATGGGCACATGTGGCCTGCCTCTGCATCAGGTCTGAACCATGTATCTTCCTCACGCTGTAATGGGAATGAAAACACATTCTTGATAGGAATTCTGTCTGTGATCCTTATAGAACTCTGTGGTTTACGTTCATCATGTGGAAGAAAGGGCTATATATATATATATACATATAAGTGCTCTTTGGAGGTGATGAATTAAGTGGGCTTTCGTTTGTCTATGCCGCAGGTGGATATGCCCATAATGCAGGACAGTTTGTTTGCAGAAACCTGTCCACCGTTGCTACATCTGGGATGCTAAAAACTCAGAGGGCACCTCTTCTACCTGTGGTGCTAATGAATGTGTTTAGTCAAGATGATGAGAAAGGCAGAAAGTTTGTTTCCTCATTTAGCTGAAACTTCTGGTGGGTTGTTGTTTTTTTTAAATCATAATTTTTCTCTTTGCCTTCCAAACCACAGCAAGGAGCATGAGCGAGGTTCCAAGTATAATCCTGCCACAACAGAGATTATACATTGTGAAATAGATGATGCCTTGGTGTCATATCCCAAATCTGCAGGCGTGTTTTGTAAGTTTCCCACTGTCATTTCTCCCTAGGGCAGTATACACTATAGACTGCAAGTTCCTGTTAGTGTTGTAACTTTGAGGCAATATGTGTGAGTTATGATCCACCGTGGTAACAAGGTCATGATTTAATACCACTGTGGCAGAGGACCAGTGTCTTCTCCTTGCATTGTTGTGATATGGTGAGGAAACTGTTCTTTTCCTGGAGCCTGGAGCCCCTCATGTAAAAACTGTAATTGCTCTTGATGGCAGCTTCTGAAAAATCAGATAGCTTCACATATAGGGTTGTTAATGAAAAATTATACTCTTGAAATTTCCTGTCCTTATCCCTACAAGAGTTATGACAATGGATGACATAACAACTGCTGTTCAGAAACATATGGCTTGCAACTGGTGTTAGAGAAGACCTACTTAAATTAACAAACATGACAAAGTTGGGTCTATTCATTTCTGTTGGTAACTTCTACTCTGAAATTTCCTAGGTTGGATACCATCTGAACACCTTTTCCAACAATAAATTTGGAATTTTACAAAGTCTTTTTAAAAAAAGAAGATACGTGCAACGCAGCATTCTGGGGGAGAAGGTTTAGGGTGCAGTGATATCAACAGAGCTATGCTCACGTTGATTTGTGAATCACCTATTTAATGTGAGCTGTCAAAGTGATCATTACACCAGAGACTGGCTGTCTTGGGCTGAGACTGTTTCCCTTTGTGAAGCTAAAAAGACACAGTTGAAAAACTCTCCCACCAGTTGTGCCATGTGTGAAAGTTCTTAATGTGAGCAAGAGCATGAAAAGGAAATTGAACATAAAATTGCAGCCAATGTTATCGCCATGTTATTGACAAGTGAGTGAAAATGGGTTTATTGTTGATAGCCAGCATATCCTACTGTTTGTTCCCACGCTGGAGCATTATTCTTAAGGTATGTCTCATGTTGGCTTTTCAAGACTTTTCAAAAAGTTCCATAGCAGCTCTGATGCATAGTTAGGGTATAGATACTCTACACAAATGTATGTTCCATTATATCCACAAAGTTGTTTGTGAAAATGGGAACACGTGTCCACACTGAAATCAATTTAATTACAAAGTTAAGGCAATCACTTGGTTCCTATGTAAGCTGTGGCATAATAAACATTTGTACCCTTTTTTATACATGAAAGCAGAGGGGTGGGGGTTTTTTTTGCATTTTTTCTATACTTAGGCTGCAATCCTATACTTACATGGAAGCAAGTCCCATCTCACTTAATGCCACTTATTTCTGAGTAGACATGTATAAGATTATCTGTGCACATGAAAAATGCTGTGTGCAAACTGAGCCACAGAAATACATATCTTGCAGTAAATTTGATTCAAACACTCTAATCCAAAATCCACTTATAGCTCAGTTTGGTTCATGTTTAGTCAGAAGTACCCTGAGCTAAGTGTGCGTAGGATGGCAGTTCTGGGATAAGTATATTGACTTTCAAATTGAATTTCTCAGTAAGTTTGCTGAAGATCACCATTCTAGATAACTAACTCAGAATTATCCGATCTTTTTACCTACAACAGTTAAGCTTAGCTGCAGAGGGCTAAGTCATGGTTTGGCTTGGCATTACACTGGAGCCCAGGCTTACAGTTTGTTTCCTCCAAACAAACCATAAGCAGTAAGCAAAGAACAAAGTTTAGCAGCCTGTTTAGTTTGGAAAGAAACAAACTGTACACACATAGAACTAAATCAAACCATGGCTTTAACTCTCAGCAGTGTGGCAGCAGGAGTAGGAGAGGAGTGAAGCACTCACAATATTTTGCTCCATGTACCAGTACATTGTACATTCACCGTTAAACCATAATTTAACTGTGGTTTAAAGTGACCTGTGGACCAGCATTCATTCCGTTGATTTCAGAGGCTCAATCTGTGAGACTCTACACTTTCTGACTTGCAAAAATTGATCAATCCCATTGACTGATATGTGGGTGTGCCCTGGCCAAATGATAACATTTGCTTCTGTGCTGATGCATGCCTGCTTTCTTTCCAGTTCTATGATTCTATGATTTGACAAGCTCACTCCTGCAAGCATCTACACCTTTTGCACTAATTCAGCAAAGTACACACGACTGGTTCACACATACACTCTGAAAGTACAATAATTGGTTTTGCTGTTGTTTCAATAGCAGTTTTCATTGTACAAACTGTTTTAAGATGGTAACTGAAGTGGTTTATCAGAATGAACTGAGTGGACCCATTACCTAAGCTACTCGTGTCAAGGGCTAGTATTGCTTCCTTGAAACTTCTTTGCACTTTCTCAAGTCACAAAGTTTCCATCACAGATTGAGTTAAAGAGATGTTACTGCAACTTTTACTTCTGCACCTTGAGATATGTAGACAAGGTTTCAAAAATGAATTACCATTGGAATTAATTCCTACTGCAGGAATTAGGAAGTAATCAGCTAATATAGTCTCACAAAGTACCCCAATTATTATTATTATTATTATTATTATTATTATTATTATTATTATTATTATTAAAAAGTGGCCACAGCCCAGAAATGCACAGGGGAAGATATATGTTTTGTGTTGAAACAGAGACTTCCATCCCACCACCATCATCAAAACCTTTTTTTGTTTCTTTCTTTTTTTCTGTGTAGCATTAAAAAGCAGCTTCTGGTGTGATCCTGAAGGCTTTCTCTTAGGAGAAAGGAAATAAAATCTGCAGCGCATGCTTGTAATCCTTTGGACACATGCAAAGGGACTGACAGGAGTGAAGTATTTATCTCCTCCACATACATTAAAAAAAACCTTTGGAATAGAAGATAATAGTTTCACAACAATCAGAAATCTAGGGGAGATTTGCACAGTCATTTAATATGCCAAAGTCAATGTTATTAGGGGCTTTCCCTCAACAGACATATGGGTCAGTGGCCACAAACATTTATTTCTTATAATATACATAGAAATCATCTGCTGCAAAAAAAGGCTGATATTTGTAAATGACAATTGTGCCTGTATGCACGCCGAGTAGTAAGGGCAAATAGCAAATTTGGTATGGGCAATTTCACATTGATGCAAAGGAATAATGGCTTCCAATATTCTGAACCTATGTTCCCTAAGGTTAGAATACTATGCTTATCTACTGCCCCACACATACTTGAACCCTTTGCAGTACCATGAAGACACAGGAAATAGGAAATAGTAGTAGTAGTTGTTATTATTATTATTATTAATGAAGATGTCTGTGACTGAACAATTTTATAGCCTTACAGGAACTGCTATGTGTAGATGCTATTAGAGAATGTACAGTGTGAAGCTGCACCGCAGCATACAGCTTTGCCAGCAAGCCTGCACTGCTTTGGGAGAAGCAATAGTGTGTGGCAGTGTGTAAGAGCCTTTTGAAGGGTTAACACCCCATCAGTCTTTTTCAGCTAGAAAAAACATCTGGCTCATAGAATCACAGAATTGGAAAGGACCCCGAGATTTCATTCTAGTCCAATGCAGGAATCTTTTTCCCAGCGTGGGGGCTTGAACTCACAACCCAGTGATTAAGAGTCTAAGGCTCTACCAGCTGAGCTACCTGACTCATTCGACTCATGAACTCCTAAAATCAATCGATGGACTGGTGATGGTCCACAGACATGCCAAAGCCACCTCTTTTCCTCATGACTAAGCATATCATCTGCATACCAGGCAGTCTTTACAGAGCCAGGACAAAGTCTATGAATCCAATACTACGAATCCCAAAGTCCCATCTTACTGAACAACAAGTCATTTACTTGCTACATTGCTGGTTGATAATTAGCAATGTGTTTTTTTTATAAAACAAAAAGGAGAAGAAAGCTTTGGTCCATCTATTCATTATTGTAACAGTATTGGGGTTTGGTTTTTTTAGCATAGCAAAACTACCACAGATAGAAAGATAAATCTGAGTCGAAACTAAGGAATGATTCACACTGGTGTGCCTATCACACAAACACACACTGCTGCAGGCCAGCATATGAGCAGTTTCCATTGAAAGGACTTGTGTCTGAGGTGATGTGAATATTCTGACTGTGGTTTTTAAATCTCCAATAAGCTGTCTCGCACCAGGTTTTGTTTTTCTGCCGAAATAAATATATTTTGAATAAATACATTTGTACTCTACTTTGGCATCCATGGTGACAGTGGTATGTGAGTTATGTTAATTTCAGGGGGGAAAGAAATTCAGATTAGCCATGGCCTGCGGCTTATTGTATCTTCTGATCTAGCCCTCAGAGATGAACTCGGTTGTCCATTGCTGTAATAGGGGTTTCAAGAATAGGATTGGATGCAGGCTCCCCCCCCCCCCGCCACACCTCACAGCACACGCACGTCCCTGATGTGGCGTGTCCGAGTTTCATAGGGCCGCTGGTATGACCAGCCCTGAGATTCTTCCTCCAGACCAAATGCAGTTTTCTAGCCACAGAGCAACTGCTGGAAGCTGCTCTGAGGAACAAATGAGGTGGGGAGGGGTGGCTTAACCCTTTCACTCTCTGCAGTTTGACCGCTTCATATGCCCCTTCAACCACTTTTCCACTCATGGGGGAAAGGTTTCTGAGGACCCTGCCCCCCCCTCCTTCCAGGTGGTAGCAAAGCAGCTTGTGGGTAGGGGTTGTAGAATTTGGAGAAGTGAAGAAGTGAAGGGTCCCCCCCCCATTCCCCTGTTTTTATTTGTTTTTAAATGGGGATATCATATAAGTTGCTGTCTTATGTAGTTTGATGCATAGTTGGAGGCGGAAGTCTGTGTGCATTCTGGTTCTGCGAAAGTTCAAAAATCACAGGAAAGTAATGCTTTTCCATTTTCATGTGCATCCATCCAAGGTGCCAGTCTCTTATCATGGCCCCGTCCTGCTGCTTTATACAGTGGTACCTCGGGTTAAGTACTTAATTCGTTCTGGAGGTCCGTTCTTAATCTGAAACAGTTCTTAACCTGAAGCACCACTTTAGCTAATGGGGCCTCCTGCTGCTGCTGGAGCACGATTTCTGTTCTCATCCTGAAGCAAAGTTCTTAACCC